TTTCTTTCACAAATCGATTTGATTTTCAAGCTGACTGCATTTACTTGCACGTATATTAATTGAAATCTGACAACAATGAAGAAGCTGTTTGTATTGGGTATTGCCGTCTTCAAGATCAACAAACATAGAGGTTTTTCTTGCGCCCTGAGTGGGCAACTAGGAGATTAATGACTGTTTTGTGGAAGAAGACAAGTATTCATTTCCTGATTGTTGCAGAGTGTATTGATACATTGAACGGTCGCTGCAAAAATTTGTTTCTATCTCTACGAGAATAACTGCAGAAAATTTCCGTTCGCAGGGAAAAAAATTGATGCAAAGAGAAAAAAGTGTTCGCTTGAAGACATCAAGATAAAGGAATTTTACACAAAGATGAAGAAAAGCTTTGTTATTGAAACATTGCCCATCTGTTTTTGGATCATGGTCAGATAAGAAGTTGTGGGAATTTTTCCAAATATCAGGTGATACAAAAATATGACAGCCAAAGGAATGTGCAGAATTTGTATTTGATTTTTTGAAACGAACAAAAAAGCTACCCACCGCATTCTTCAACGATCTCTCGCGGGCGTGGGCGAAGAGCGTCCAAGTTTATTTGGCTGAAGCGTATTTTGTTGAGGCCTTCAGATTCGCTCTGAGACCGCACCTAAAGGAGATTTGGGTTAAAAAAGGATGAGGAAGGCCTGAAAAATTGGTCCAGACCTTCAATGCGCTGCTAGGCACCAGTGCTGAATGATCTCCGAAGAAAGGAAAACTGGCAGCTCGTCGGCAGCCGGTGAAGTAACCGGCGGGTGTCGAGTGGTAGCACGTCTCCCATTCTTTCTCTCCTACCATCGCCTGCCTGCACTATAAAACAGAGAATTTGTGATAAGCGGTCGCGTACAGAATCAGTCGGTCGGCGCGGCACGACAACGAGAACGAGATACGCAAGAAAAGATAATGGTCCCCCAAACACACACAATACGCACAAGACGAACAACAGACGACACTCTCTCATGCAAGCCAAGGTGAGGGGGGATTACACTCGTCTCTGGTCTGCTGCTGGTGGGTCCGTCCGTCCGCAGATCTCGCACAGACGCGACAGAACCCGCAGGCTGCCATCGAGGAAATCAATCAGCGCTCAGGCTAGGCGCACTGCACTTGCCGGATAACCTGCGCCAGAAAAGTTCTGCGTTCTGCTAAAAACCATTTTTGCTCTCATATTGGGTCACATTCACTAAAAGTGCAAGACTTTCCTTGAAAAGGAAAAAGGAGACCAGAAAAAGTGTGAGCATGTCAGACTTGATCGCCAAAAGTTGGAAAACATAGGCGTCGATGCGATAATGTGATTAAGATAGGCGAGAAGTTATCAGACGACTATAAAAACGACGAGAGCGCATCGCTGGGCACACTTTGCGGAAGCAAAAGGCGCTGCCATCAGCACTCGCTAGATTTTTTTTTGCTTTCATAAAAAAACACTGCTGCAGTTGTTACTTGACATATATTCGGCAGTCTTGGGGAATTTCTGGCAGAGAACTGGTGCGAGAAAAACAGGAGAAAAGGGTGGGCGAGCTCGAGGGATGGGATAGGATGATCTCTTAGCAAATTTTTAATCAAAAACAAGTTGAAAAAGCACGTGAAGCAGCAAGGTCAGACTTGCGATCAGATGGGTAGATATAGACTTTCGATTGAGAGTGGGGAAGTTGCGGGAAATTCTAGTAGAATTTTTTTTCTTTGCTTGCTGGCTGTGAGAATCGCACTGACCCTACTGAAGAAGGTAAATGGAAATACGAAATCAGAAGTGAATAACGCGGCGAAACTCGAAGTCTACAAATAACAAATTAAATCTCAAAGTAGAGAGGAACA